GCAGGGCAAGCCGCTGTTCACGGTGCTGAACCCAGGCCTGCTCCAGGCTGTGGCGTTCCTCTCCACAAGCTGCCCCGGGTCTCCCACCACCACCGCCAACAGGCTCCAAAGGGCAAGGGTGGCTGAATTGCAGCTGTAAACTGAATGGGGTGGAGGGAGAAGAAACGAGCTTTAAGTGGGGAGAAGGGTCTTCCCACTCCCACGTCCCCCCTGCAGTGGTGACAAGGCTGGGCACAGGAGAAAAAGCTGAGCTGAGTCTGACTATGAGTCCAAACTGTGCCTTTCCCATGAAGGGAGGGTGCATGAATCCCCACATCCAGGCCACGAGCATGGCACAAACAACAAATGGCACAAGGTCTCCTACTCCAGTTACATGTGGACATGTAAGTGAAATCCCTAGGACTCAAGATACATGTTTAAGGCACTGGTCACAACTACTGGGAGAGTAGGGACATGAAGCTCCTATGGCTGTCTTTATGCTCTAGTGTCACAGTCCCATTTCTATATGTTTGTACAGCACTACTCATCACAGAATCACAGAATATATAGGAGTTTGAAGGGACCTTGAAAGATCATCTAGTCTAACACCCCTGCCAGACCAGGATCACCTAGACTAGGTCACACAGGAACGCGTCCGGGGAAGGTTTGAATGTCTCCAGAGATGACTCCACAACCTCTCTGGGCAGCCTGTTCCAGTGCACTGTCAACTCATGGTTCTCCATATGAACTGAGGTTTCTTTATAAAGCCAGACTGGACTCATCAGCCAGTGTGGCAGTTGAAGCAGCACAGGCAGAAATTACAGCACAGCTTCACAGCCCACTGCAAAACCACCACAGAAAGCCCTGGCTCTCCAGGTGGCAAAATGTCCTTGCCTAGCCAGTGGACACTCCAATAACGCCTTGAATCCGTGCTTGGGGCAGGCCCAGGAAGATTTCACACATGGTGTTACAGTGTATGTCAGCCCTGCTGAGACATCCCAAAGTATTGCTTTCAACGCTTTTGGGGACCTCTAAGAGTGCAAGAGGAGAGGTCTTAGGCTGGCCACTGCATTTTAAAGGTCTATGCAAGATCTGGAGCACAGTGTGTCATACTTTCCCATGGGGATAGGCAGCTTCTTCCTGCAGAAGGTGGGGATCTCCTACCTCAAGAGTAGGCTCACTCCCTTTCATGCAGCCCCAGGGATGGGTGAAAAAGCCATGACTTATCTGCCCAAACAATCTGTTCATTTTTCATCTGTTCCCATTGCAAATATGTCCACCCTGTATGAGCACAGTGCTATCCATTTGAGATGGATGCAGCACTAATATTTCTTTTTATTTAGGTTAGTTTAAATAGTTACAGTTGAACATGAAAACAAATCTCCTCTGCCAACTGCCAGAATGGTTTGAAGCAGCAGAGACAAGATTTAAACTGTGGGGTTCT